TAGTGCCCCATGGGGCCATTCTGAGAATTAAAGTTGAAATGGGTCAAGTGCACAGAAGAATGTCTGTCACCAATTAAGGTATTGTCATATTTTATGTTGTGTTAGTAATAATATAGCTCTTGGTTGCTTTTATTGTTGTTGTCGTTGAATTGACTCTTGAAATGGTCATGGTGATCTTGGGCAAGTAGGTTCACTTCTCAAGGCCCGCAGCGGTGCTCTCACAGGAATCCGTGAACAGCCCTCCCTCCAGGATCTGAGACTGAGGAAAACCCCACAACTGCATTCTAAAGGCCTGGCAGCTGCTGAGGCCTTTACAGGAAACAGTGGCACCATCAGGAGGAGGCGATGACCACGTGGGAGGTGAGGGAGCCAGGAGCTTGCCAGGCCGCCTTCATTCCCCTCACCGTCTCCCAACAGCTTACCATAGTGATGTTCTTTGTCTACAATTTCAGGAGAAAAAAATCACATGTCATCTGTTTACTCCAGGCAACAGGTTGCACAGTAATTGAGAAGCCCCAGACTTCTGAGAAAGTCTCTCTGTGTACAGTATTTGTAGAATCTCGCTTGTGTTTCTATTTCCCCTGCTAATCACCGTCCTGGCACTCCACCTCCTGCTGCACGCACATACACTTCCTCAGCCTGGGTGTGCCTTGCCATGTCGGGAGGGAACTATTTAGAGGCAGCCTGCAAGAATCCTTGGGTTCCTGGGCCTGGGAGGGAAGTAAAGAAGGAAAAAGGAAGACGGCTCCGGGCTAAGAACCACAAGCAGACCCAATGGAGGCCTAGAGCACCTCAGGCAACTTGACTCCTGATTCAGTTAGAAATAGTCTTAATTGTTTGTATTAGCGATCTAATTGTGGTACCTTTAAGAAGAAGATTATTCCTCTCTTAAATGAAAGAAGTCTAAAGGACTTTTGTAGTAGCTCCTCAAACTCTTCAGCTTTCTGCTCCACCATCCTGGTTCATCGCTTTCATCCTTCAAGTTTGCTTCATGATCCAACGTGGCTGCCAGGAGCTCTAGCCATCACATCCATATTCCGGACAACAGGAGGGAGGAACCAAGGAAGGGTTAAAGGAGTATTCACACCCTTTGCCTTTTACAGAGCCTTCCTAGAAATCCCATGCAACGACTCTGCCTACATCTCAGTGGCCAGAGCTCAGCCACTCACCTGCTCCTGACTGCAGATGAGGCTATGTTTCATACGAGACCCTGAGAGTGGTTTGAGGGAAAGGGGAGAATGAAGCCTGTTAGTAATAGCACAGCCTCCAGTTTCCGTCCTGAGCAATTCTGCTCTGGCTCCAAATTTGCACACCCACCTAGCAATAAAGTAGTTCCCAAAGCATCGTATTTATTTGTTATTCAAATATCCCCCTGGAGAATGTTAAGACTTCTCCCATCTGTCTATGTTATACTATACTCTCTTACAGAAGAATTCTAGTAAACAGAGTTTGTTCCATGTCAGAACACAACTAAGGATAGTTTAACTTAACAACAATATTTTACCAGCTGAGCCACAAGGGAAGCCCTAACAACATTTTTTATTTTTTTTATTTTTTTTTCCATTTATTTTTATTAGTTGGAGGCTAATTACTTTACAACATTGCAGTGGTTTTTGTCATACATTGAAATGAATTAGCCATGGATTTACATGTATTCCCCATCCCAGTCCCCCCTCCCACCTCCCTCTCCGCCCTATCCCTCTGGGTCTTCCCAGTGCACCAGGCCCGAGCACTTGTCTCATGCACCCAACCTGGGCTGGTGATCTGTTTCACCCTAGATAATATACGTGTTTCGATGCTGTTCTCTTGAAACATCCCACCCTCGCCTTCTCCCAGAGTCCACAAGTCTGTTCTATACATAGGAGTCTCTTTTTCTGTTTTGCACATAGGGTTATCGTTACCATCTTTCTAAATTCCATATATATGTGTTAGTATACTGTAATGGTCTTTATCTTTCTGGCTTACTTCGCTCTGTATAATGGGCTCCAGTTTCATCCATCTCATTGGAACTGATTCAAATGAATTCTTTTTAATGCCTGAGTAATATTCCATGGTGTATATGTACCACAGCTTCCTCATCCATTCGTCTGCTGATGGGCATCTAGGTTGCTTCCATGTCCTGCCTATTATAAACAGTGCTGCGATGAACATTGGGGTGCACGTGTCTCTTTCGGATCTGGTTTCCTCAGTGTGTATGCTTAGAAGTGGGTCATATGGCAGTTCTATTTCCAGCTTTTTAAGGAATCTCCACACTGTTTTCCATAGTGGCTGTACTAATTTGCATTCCCACCAACAGTGTAAGAGTGTTCCCTTTTCTCCACACCCTCTCCAGCATTTATTGCTTGTAGACTTTTGGATAGCAGCCATCCTGACTGGCGTGTAATGGTACCTCATTGTGGTTTTGATTTGCATTTCTCTGATAATGAGTGATGTTGAGCATCTTTTCATGCCTAACAACATATTTTAAACTCCCCTCAGCTCTTGGTCTGAAAAGTTACCTGGCTCTGACAAGAGACCTAGGTCCTAGTCTTAGCAAAGGCATCATCAGTCTGGATTCTTTATTCATTCAACAAATATTTGCCCAAGACATTGTGCTAAGTATTGTGGACCCAGGAACCCACACGCACAATGTCATTGGTTCTCATGTACTCACCTACAGGAAATCCACAGGCACTGGTGACGCATGGTGGGAGGCGCTGGGGGCAGGTGTGAGGCTCCATGGTGGTTCATTGGCAGGTTTGCTTTGATCCTGGCCGGGAACCCCATGGACAGAGGAGCCTGGCGGGCTACAGTCCATGGGGTTGCAGAGAGTCAGACACGACTTATCGACTAAACAACAACAGGACAGGTGGGAGGTCACAGGGGTGACCTCCAAGTTGAGAGCTGAAGGTCAAGCAGAGGTTATTCAGACTGTAAATAACAAAAAAGTCACAAGATCAAAGGATGAAAGATCCTTGGGCCACAGTACAGAGGATGAACTGGAGAGGGGCCTGTGTGGAGGTGAGGAGCCCGGCGATGAGGCTGTTGCTCCGTCCAGAGGAGCCGGAGAGGTAGACTCAGCTTGGATGGTGAGAAGGGGAAGGATACAGAGTCACGCTGGAGGTGACATCAGAGAATGTGGTGAGGAGTATCTGATCTGGGACGGGAGGAGGGATTCAAACATGATGGTGGGCTTCCAGCTCAGGATCAGGGTTTCTAGCTTCGGACACTAGCTGGTGATGTGTCCTAGGACTGGCTGATGTTGGGGAACAGGCCAGGACTTGTGGCTGAGGCCTGCCCTGAACCTGCCTCCTGAGAAGTCAGGCGAGTGGACCCACTGGCCCACGTAGCCTGACTCCCCTGACACCCCTTCCCACAGAAATGGCTCCTCCTGAGGCAGAAAGCATCCTCTGGGAGGCTGACCTGGCCCAGAGGCCAGCGCAGACTCTGGGAGAAGCTCGGGACTGTTTGGTTGGGGAGTGCTGAGGCCTGGGAACATAAGATTGTTGAGGGATTGACATGGGTGCTGGGTGGCCATGTGCTTGTGGGAAGGGGCAGAGGCAAAAGTCAGCAGGAGGCCGGGGGGGCCTCCAAGTGCCCTGGGGCAGAGGGCTCAGGACCCAGGTGTAAGGGCAGTGCTGCCAGAAGAAAGCAGGGTGCAAGGAGATGCTGACTTTAGTTCTGCGCAGCTTGTGTTTGAAGGGCCTATGGAGATAACTGGGCTTCCCAGGTGGTGCTAGGGGTAAAGAACCTGCTTATTAATGCAGGAGATGTAATAAGAGACCTGGGTTTAATCCCTGGGGCCAGGAAGATCCCCTGAAGAAGGGCATGGCAACCTACTCCAGGACTCTTGCCTGGAGACGACGCCCATGGAGAGAGGAGCCCGGTGGGCTATAGTCCATAGGGTAGCAAACAGTTGGACACAACTGAAGCGATTTAGCACACGTGCATGTGGAGATAACCAGGAAGTAATCAGAGCTGTCATTCTGGGACACAGAAAGAAAATTTTGAAGTCGCACTTCTCACACTGGCTCCTCTCAGCATCATTTATAAGACAGGGCTCTGCAGGGCTGTGGGACTGGGTCCCTGAGTTTCCTTTCTCCTCTAGCATTCTCTGGACTGTAAACCAGCCTCCTCACCCCACTGCCCTGCCCCGGGGCTGCCTGGCCTGCGTGGAGGCAGAGTCTGAGGAAGCCTGTTCAGGGGCCCAGCCTCGCCCGATTCACCAAATTCTTGTAATCAGTTTAGTTACACGACAGAGTTCGGATCAGAGTGAGGATTAGCAGAGGAAGTTTGTGAACAGTGCTTTGAACTTCACAGATGAAAGCCCCCTCCCCCGTTCTCACAAAGAAAGTCCGAGGTATGAAGGCATGGCCCCCACCCCCTCCAGCCTCACCCCCACCCGCTGCAGCCGGCTGGTGAGCCCTTGGCATCTCAAATGGCCTTCCCGCACCATGGCATTCCACCCAGGTCTCCCAGAGGGGGGAAATGGATTCTGTCCTCAGCCCACTGCTCCTGGAATTGCAGGCATTCAGTGAGCTGGTCCCCAGCCCTGCCTTCTCCAGGACTCCCGCGTGTAGCCGGGAGTAGCAGGGACATTCGTGTCCCCACCAGCTCCCCCACCCCAATCGGAGTCCACACCCCACAGCGCCACAGGGAAGGAAAGAAGAGGACAGAGCTGGGGGCAGAGCAGCCCTCCCCGCCGCCCAGCCTGCCGCTGGTGGGTTATTGTTCCCAGATGGAGACTGTCAAACCCTGTCAGCCGCAGATACACACTGGGCGCTACATCCGCATTCCTGGGATGTGTGACTGCCCGGCTTCACCTTCTGTGGCCCTCGATTCAATTACATGTCAAGTTCCTTCAGCCTCACCCGGGGCTGAAACCCCCTCACCCACTCCCAGCCTCTGCATTTGGAACACAGATTTGCTGTGGCTGTCTAAATATTTAAGCTGGGCCAAGGGGAGGCCTGTGCAGTTGGATTGATTACACTTAGTTGTCCAAGCTGGGGGGGGGGTCTCACCTGTTAGCGCTGGTTTCATGATGAGCTTTGGAAGCCAGGAGTCTCTGGTTTCAAGAGTGAGCCAGCTGTGCTCGCTGGGCTCTGGGCTGCGGATCCTGAATTCGGCCCCCAGTTAGCAGGCCTCGGTACCTGAGGGAGCGGTAGTGGTTTAGTCCCTCAGTTGTGTCTGACTCTTTGAGACCCTCATGGAGTGTAGCCCACCAGGCTCCTCTCTCCATGGGACTTCCCAGGCAAGAATACTGGAGTGGGTAGCCATTTCCTTCTCCAGGGAATCTTCCCCACCCAGGGATTGAACCTGGGTCTCCTGCATTGTAGGAAGATTCTTTATCAACAGAGATACCAGGGAAGCCTGGGGGAGGAGCATGGCAATTATGCTGATGACTTAAGTTGAGGGCCTGGCTGCAGGAAGGATCCTGTGTCCTTGATCCCCACTCAAGGCACCCGATCTGCTATGCTAGGAAGTGCATTCCACAGCCCCCTCCATCCCTTCCTCTGAGGGTCTGCCTCTCAGAGTCAAGATGCTTCTCCCACCCTGACAGACCGTTTCCACAGTGAGTCCATTTTTCTTTAACTAATTTGCAATAAATTAGGCTCTCATTTGGATTTCCTGGGTGGCGCTAGTGGTAAAGAACCCGCCTGCCAATACAGGAGACTTAGATTCAGTCCCTGGGTCGGGAAGATCCCCTGGAGGAGGGCATGGCAACCCACTCCAGTCTTCTTGCCTGGAGAATCCCATGGACAGAGGAGCCTGGTGGGCTACAGTCTGTAGGTTCACAAAGAGCTGGACTCAATTGAAGCAACTTGGTACACACGCAGGCTCTCACTCAAACTGCGTTGTATCTGTGGGCCACAAGGGTAACTGTGGGGACAGATGAGGGCACCTGGGGCCCAGAGATGGTAAGTGACTTGCTCAGGATCGCAGAGCAATTGGTAATGAAGCTGAATCTACTATCCCAGAACTTTGGGTTTCTATCGGTCATGGGTTGAATTGTATCCCCCGTAAGATATGCTATGGTCCTAACCTCTGGTGCCTGTGAATGTGACCTTGTTTGGAAACAGAATCTTGGCAGATGGAATCAAGTCGAGGTGAGGTCACTGGGGGGACCCTGATCCAATATGGTGGCTTCCTATCGGAGGAGGGGAGAGTAGACCGAGGCCCATTCATAGAGGAAAGTCAGTCTCATGAAGAGGAGGCAGGGATGGGAGTTATACAGCCACAGGCCAAGGAACAGTGGGACGAAACCACCGAAGCTGAAAGGGCACAGAAGTGTCCTCCTCTAGGGCTTGGGGAGCGTGGCCCTGCCCTCTTTGGACTTCCAGAACAGAGAGAGAGTACACTTCAGTCGTTCTAAATAGTCCAGTCTGTGCCCTTTGTACAGCGGCCCTGAGAAGCTGAGACATCATCCAAAAGCGTTCCTGATACAAGATGTGAGTGAATTCTGGATGGAAATGCAGCTCCTTAGAAGCAATGAGAGGCTATGGGTCTGGACTCCTGGCTACCGACCAGATCACATCCACTGTGCAAGTCACCTCCGCGCCGCCTCCTGTCCTTGAGATGTGCCCTCCAGTGAGGCCTGTTGATGTGGGCTCCTTCTCAATTTCTCAACTTTAATCTATGAGTTGATGTCAAACCAGGAGACTTTTCCCCTGAATCCTCAGGCTGCCCAACATTATTCTGATCATTTGCTCTTGAGTAGCCCTCCCCTCTGAGGGATTTCAAGGCACTTAAACCCAATTCTGTGACCCATGGGAGTGGCTGCGGGGGTTAGGAATTCCTGGTTTACATCTACCCTCTGACCTCTCCCTGTCGCCATGACTTCATTAAACCGAGTCCTTTTGTTGAGCAGACTTTAGGAAAGAGGTTAAGAGCTGGCGTAGAAAATACCATGGCTCAGGCTTGGCCTGACAGTGGGCCAAGGGTTTGGGCAAATGAATGCTTTGCAATTAATCTTAATGTTTATATTCAATCTCAAGAGCTGGCAATTTTCCAGAATCCATTGGCCTGCTCTTGAGTCTGTGGTATTTCTAACAAGGCAGTCAGTTGGTGCGTTACATCCAGGGTGGTTGTGTTCATACCCTGCTGCTGCTGCTGCTGCTAAGTCACCTCAGTCATGTCCGACTTGGTGCGACCCCATAGACGGCAGTCCACCAGGCTCCGCCTTCCCTGGGATTCTCCAGGCAAGAACACTGGAGTGGGTTGCCATTTCCTTCTCTAATGCATGAAAGTGAAAAGTGAAAGTGAAGTCGCTCAGTCCTGTCCAACTCTTAGCGACCCCATGGACTGTAGCCTACCAGGCTCCTCCATCCATTGGATTTTCCAGGCATGAGGTTCATACCCTAAAACCCAGAAATTCTGGCCTGCAAGAGCCCTAAGCCCACCTCCTTCTGTCAGCCTCACACACTGGCCAAGATTGGTTGACCAAATCCTAGATCTGGTTGCATACATTGGGAGTAACCGTTCTAAAAGACGTGTTCTATTTTCTTGCCTCACTGCTCTTCCCTGAAGCTTCTTGTTTACTGTGGAATTGCTAAGAATCTAAACACATCAAGGGACAATGCTCCCAGTCCCACAGGCGTGAGTTGAACTAAGTGGAACCATACTTTGCTTTCCTCCCAAACCACTGGGTGGAACCAATGTAAAACCACAGGATCATTCACTGTGTGTGCAGAGACTCCCCTGTGTGTTTTTATGTTCCTCCCAAGAAGGATGTGTGTTCTTGCCTTTGTTTTATCTACCAAAAGCTGGCATTGCATTCCAAAGGCGACAGGTCTAAACAACTGGTCACTGCTTACACCAATTATGGTACAGCCATACAATGCACCCCTATGAAGCCACAGAATGTCATGCTTTGGAAGCTAATTTAATGACATGGGAAAATGTTTGTGGTCTACTATTAAGTGAAAAAAGCTGCTTACAAAACAGAATGTACAGTATGAAAATAATTATGCAAAAATTAGGTAGATAGCCATTGAAAATCTGGAAGGCTATAATCCAAAATACAAACATCGATGAAATACTCTAGGTCACAAACACACAATGGAGAGTCTGTGCACCCCTCAAGGGCATCTATTTGAGAGAAAGAAGTGGCTGACACCTTGGCACAGGACAGACCCTGTTGGGAAGGGCCATCTTTTTCTGAACATACTTGGCACCATGGAGACTGGTGTTAGCTCTGGGATTGTGCTTGCTACTTCTATGCTGTGCTCAGTCATGTCTGACTCTCGAGAGCCCATGGACTGTAGCCTGCCAGGCTCCTCTGTTCATGGGATTCTCCAGGCAAGAATACTGGAGCAGGTTACCATTTCCTCCTCCAGGGAATCTTCGTGACGTAGGAATTGAACCCATGTCTCCCGCATCTCCTGAATTGCAGGCATGTTCTTTACCCCAGAACCATCAAGGAAGCCCTCTAGGATTGTGGGTGAGTCAAAATTGTCTCCTATGAGCTTTTTTATACTTCCCTAGAGTTCGTCTGTGATTATGTGCTACTTTTGTGTCAACAAAAAACAATGATGTATAATATAATCAAACTTAAAAAGGAAAACAGGTGGAAATTTAAACACTGATAGAATATTTGATGATATTAAGGAAGTGTCTTTGAGTATACTAATGATATTGTGGTTATATTTTTTAATGACTTATTAGCTTTTAGAGATGCATACTGACATGCTTGTAGATGAAATGATATGTCTTCTGGAATTTGCTTCAAAAGAATATGGGAAGGGAATTCTCTGGCTGTCCAGTGGTTAGAATTTGGCCCTCTTACTGTCAGGGGCCCCAGGTTCAATCTCTGGTCAGGGAACTAAGATCCCACAAGCCAAGCAGTGCAGCAAAAAAAAAACTGAATGGAAATATAAAGTGTTGCTTTCAAAAAAAGAAAAAAAAAAAACGCAAAGATGGATAACCATCAATCCCTTGTCTCTACTGAGCAAAATAAAAAGGAAAGGATTAAAAAAAAAAAAAGGAAAGGATTAATTTACAAGATTGAGAAATTTGATTTAGCCAGATGGAAAAAATAAATTATTACAAGTATTGGAATGTTAAATACCACAGTATTATTGTACCTGCTAGGACTGCTTTCAGCTGCAAGTAGCTAAAAAAAATTTTGGACTTCCCTCATGGTCCAGTGGTTAGAAATCTGTTTGCCAATGCAGGGGACACAGGTTTGACCCCTGGTCTGGGAAGATTCCACATGCCATGGAGCAACTAAATCTGTGTGCCACAGCTTCTGAGCCTGAGCTCTAGAACCTGCGAGCTGCAACATCTGAAGCCACGTGCCCTGGAGCCTGTGCTCCTCAACAAGAGAAGCCACCGCAATAAGAAGCCCACACACCACAATAGAGAGTAGCCCCTGCCTGCTGCAGCTCGAGGAAGCCTGCATGTACCAGTGAAGAGCTAGTGCAAAAAAAAAAAGAAAAAGAAAATCTTACGGTGATTTAAGCCCTAAGTATATCTGTCAGTTAGTTAATGTCAAGAAAATAGGTAGAAAAATCCCAGGGTTATTCAGCAAATAAAGGTGACATCAAGATACTGAGAAGTCAGGTGTTTTCCATCCTTCTGTTATTGTGGTTTTTTTTTAGCTGTAGACTTACTGCCACATAGTCACAAGATGGGTGCATGAGCTCCAGACTTCCCAGTCGTAAGTAACCCACCCAAAGGCAGGAAGCAGAGGGAGGAAAGTGAGAGAAAATCCTCATGTGTAGCTTTTTCTCTCCTTCTCTTTACCCAGGAAGGAAGACTATTGCCCTAAACCCCTTTGGCAATCTTGCCTTTGTATCTTACTGGATGATACTTGGTTGCCTGGTCACCTCCAACTGCAAGGGAGACTAAGAAAATTAATATCTAGCTGCTTAACACCCTATAAGAGGAAAGAAAAGGATTAGGAGTGGCTGCCGTAATTATAGGAGAGAGCTATGGCATATCCATCCTCATTTCTGAAGCAATTTTTGCTAATTCTAGAAAGATTGAAAAATGCAGGTAATTAGCTATTTCTTCATCCAAAGAAATCTGCTAATAACACTTTGGTGTAAGAGGAATAGCTTTTAACAAAGTTAGATCTTCTTTATTGGGTACATGAAGACAACGGGAGACAGAGCGGGTCAACCCAGGCCTTCCAGGTTTTTTGCAGCTTTGTGAGTCAAAGTAAAAGGCTCTATCTTGATTTCTAATACTCTTTAAGAATAGAAAAAGAGTATTTGGGTAGAGTTTATCAGTTGTGCATTGCTGTATAACAGACCACCAAAACTTAATGGTTTACAACAACAAGCATTTATCATTTTTAATATTTATTATATATTTTTTATTTACTTACTTGGCCACGCTGGGTCCTAGTTGTGGCACGCGGGAACTCTGATCTTGGTTAACAGCATGTACAATCTAGTTCCCTGACCAGAGCTTGAACTCGGGTCCCCTGCATTGGGAGTACAGAGTCTTAGCCATTGGAGCACCAGAAAAGTCCCCAACCATGTATTACCGTTCATGTCTCTCTGGGTCAGGAATCTGGGCTGGACTCAGTGTGAAGACTCTTTCATGTGGCACTGGCTCCTTCCCTTCAGGAACAGCATTCAGCTGACCAATCAGCTGGGCTGGAAGATCCAGGATGGCTTCCTCCATCTGTCTGCAGCCTCTCTGGATTCATTCTGCCTGGTCCTCCAGGGCCTTTCTCTCCAGGTGTCCTCTCCCTTTAGCAGGATAGCTCAAGTTCTCTCCATGGTGGCTGCTTCCCCCAAGTGAAGTGTGTTAGGCACTCAGTCGTGTCTGACTCTTTGCAATCCCATAGACTGTAGCCCACCAGGCTCCTCTGTCCATGGGATTCTCCAGGCAAGAGTACTGGAGTGGGGTGCCATTTCCTTCTCCAGGGGATCTTCCCGACCCAGGGATCGGACCCGGGTCTCCTACATTGCAGGCGGTTCTTTTTTTACCATCTGAGCCAAAAGCAGAAGCTACATTTTAATGCATGCCTTGAAGTTCCATAATACCATTCTCACCGTCTTCTAATTGGTTGGAGCAAAAGGCACAAGGGCAGTCCAGATCCAAGGGAGGGGAATAGATTCTCTCTTTTTTTCCTTTGTAGAAAGCTTTTTAATTACAAATTCAAATTATTTAATAGATACAGACCTGTTCAGTTCTATATGTCTCCTTAAATGAACTTTGGTAGTTTGTATCTTTCAAGGATTTTGTTCCTTTCATCGAAGATTTTGAAATAATGAACATAAGATTATTAAAACATTTCCTTATTATTCCTTTGATTTCTGTGTAATTTTTAGTGATAATCCCTCTTTTATTCTTTTTTAATGAAGTATAATTGATTTACAGTATTGTATTAGTTTCTGTTGTACAGCAAAGTGATTCAATTATAGATACAGATGTGTATATATAAATGTATTACATATGTGCATATATATGTGTATATATATATTCATTTTCATATTCTCTTCCTTGAAGGAGAGGCAAAGGGTGTGCTGGATAGCAGATACTGTTGTAATCATCTTGGAAACATTCTGCTCCATATGGCAAAAGATCTGCTCAGGGTTAGAGAAGTTAAAACACACACACACATGCAAATGCACTAAAATTCAAAACCCTTTGCCTCTGGCAGCTGTATGCCACGTGTGTATGTATGTATGGGTACAAGTATGTATACATCAACAGTGATGCTCTATAATTCTCTTCAAATAAGAGCTTTCAGGTTTGTTGAGGAATCTCTGTCAACTCTTGGTGAGAGTGTAGTACTTAATAGCACTAACCTCAGAGCCAGAATGCCCGGATTCAAATCCAGCAGCACATCTTCTTCAGAAATTAGCATTTGAATCAGCAGAATGAGTAAAGCAGATGACCCTTCCCAGCAGGCGCCCGCATCACCCACTGAGCTGTCAAGAGAACAGATTTGTCAAGAACAAAAAAGTGAAGGAAGGGCACCTTTGCTTTCTCCTGGAGCTAAGACAACCACCATCTCCTGCCTTAGGACTCTGGCGCTCCTGGTTTGCATCAGGTCTTAACATCAGCCCCCTGATTCTTGGGCCTTCAGACTCAGACTGAATTATATCATCATCTTTCCTGGTTCTCCAGCTTGCAGACAGCAGATCATGGAGCTTCTTAGCCTCCATAACTGTGTAAGACTTTAACAAACTGTGTAATCCCTATAATAAATCTCTTCTAATCTACATCTATCTATATCTATATCTATCCTGTTGGTTCTATATCTCTCTAGAGAACCTAATACAAGACCCTTAGTTGAAATACATTGGCAAAAACCCTTTTCCCAAATATGGTCCCTTTTACAGGTTCCAGGGGTTAGGATTGAGACATCTTTTTTGGGGGGCCATTATTCAACCCATTACACCACTCTATATAATAACTGCAAAATTATAAATGTGTGCATGCATGCACACATGCTTACACAAAGATACATACACCAGGTCCCCCTGACACCCTTACCCTGTTACTATTTTCTTATTTTTCTGTAGTACTCGCCATTTTCTAGTGTACTATGTCAATTGTATATAAGGTTTATAGTTATTATATCCTTTGTATAAGGTTTATAGTTATTCTCCCCTCCCACTGGAATGTCAGCTCACCAGATTTATGTCTGTTTTGTTCAGTGATGTAACACAAGAATCTAGACATACAGCAATGCTTGACACATAACAGATGCTAACTTCTTACAGAATGAATGAATGAATGAATGCCACATGTTACCGGGAACCAGTCACCCAGACAGCTCCAGGCATACAGGCAGGAGTCAATAAATGCCTGCTGAATGAGATGAGATGAAACAGTCTGGAGCCTGCCCTTAGGAGAATCCTGGGAGACCCTATTACAAAGGCAAAGATACTCCCTTTCCAAGCTAGTTTTTCTAGTTTTTTTTTTTTTTTTTTTTCTCCTCATCAGATTTGCAAATACTGAGCTGCCCACTTCAGGAGCAGTGATTCTCCACTGGTGATTCAGTGTTACATGGACCTGAAGCTGCCTGAGCTGAAAATTACTTCCCCTAAATTAGAAAAGGTTACATTTCCAGAGAATATATCTTGGTCTCTAAATAAGGTATAATGAACCACACCAGCAAGCATAATGACCAAAATAGTTTCCAAAGAGCAACTTAGAGCTGGATAATTACAAACCAGAGAGCGTGATGAGCCCAGGATGCTGCTACTTGGGGCCCTGATGGCCCGAGCTAAGCAAACCGAAAATGCCACGGAAAATACACACCAGGGCACGCTCTGTACCTTGTTTCCCAGACCACTCTCCTCCTTTACACCCCACTCTGATGTTCGCTCTCATTTGTCCGTTATAAGCTACACTCAGTTCAGTTACTCAGTCGTGTCTGACTCTTTGTGACCCCGTGGACTGTAGCACTCCGGGCTTCCCTGTCCATCACCAACATCCAGAGCTTACTCAAACTCATGTCCATCGAATCAGTGACGCTATGCAACCATCTCATCCTCTGTCGTCCCCTTCTCCTCCTGCCTTCAGTCTCTCCCAGCATCACGGTCTTTTCCAATGAGGCAGTTCTTTGCATCAGGTGGCCAAAGTTTTGGAGTTTCAGCTTCAGCATCTGTCCTTCCAATGAACACCCAGGACTGATCTCCTTTAGGGTTGACTCGTTTGATCTCCTTGCAGTCCAAGGGACTCTCAAGAGTCTTGTCCAACACCACAGTTCAAAAGCATCAATTCTTCAGTGCTCAGCTTTCTTTATAGCCCAACTTTCACATCCATACATGACTAGTGGAAAAACCATAGCTTTGACTAGACACCTTTGCTGGCAAAGTAATGTCTCTGCTTTTTAATATGCTGTCTAGGTTGGTCATAGCTTTTCTTCCAAAGAGAAAACATCCTTTAATTTCATGGTTGCAGTCACCATCTGCAGTGATTTTGAAGCCCCCCATAACAAGGTGTGCCACTGTTTCCATTGTTTCCCCATCTATTTGCCATGAAGTGATAGGACCAGATGCCATCATCTTCGTTTTCTGAATGTTGAGTTTAAGCCAACTTTTTCATTCTCCTCTTTCACTTTCATCAAAAGGCTGTTTAGTTTCTCTTCATTTTCTGCCATAAGGGTGGTGTCATCTGCATATCTGAGGCTATTGATACCTCTCCCAGAAATCTTGACTCCAGCTTGAGCTTCATCTGGCCTGGTATTTCACATGTTGTATTCTGCATAGAAGTTAAACAAGCAAGGTGACAATATACAGCCTTGACCTACTCCTTTCCTGATTTGGAACCAGTCTGTTGTTTCATGTCTGGTTCTAACTGTTGCTTCCTGACCTGCATACAGGTTTCTCAAGAGGCAGGTCAGGTGGTCTGGTACTCCCATATCTTGAAGAATTTTCCACAGTTTATTGTGATCCACACAGTCTAAGGCTTTGGTATAGTCAGTAAAGCAGAAATAGATGTTTTTATGGAACTCTCTTGCTTTTTCTATGATCCAATAGATGTTGGCAATTTAATCTCTGGTTCCTCTGCCTTTTCTAAATCCAGCTTAACCATCTGGAAGTTCACATTTCATGTATTATTGAAGCCTGGCTTGGAGGATTTTGAGCATTACTTTGCTAGCATGTGAGATGAGTGCAATTGTGCAGTAGTTTGAACATTCTTTGGCATTGCCTTTCTTTGGGATTGGAATGAAAACTGACCTTTTCCAGTCCTATGGCCACTGCTGAGTTTTCCAAATTTGTTGACATATTGAGTGCAGCACTTTCATAGCATCATGTTTTAGGATTTGAAATAGCTCAACTGGAATTCCATCACCTCCACTAGCTTTGTTCATAGTGATGCTTCTTAAGGCCCACTTGACTTCACATTCCAGGATGTCTGGTTCTGGGTGAGTGATCACACCATCATGGTTATCTGGGTCATAGGATATGTCTATTTCCTTTTTTCCTCAAATAGTGGTCTTTAAGACTAAAAACAAAAATTGATTGGCTGCTGAGAATGAAGTTTTGGAGCCTGAGTTTTGGTTGGTTGTTTTCTCCTTCTGCAAAGTTCAGGGCACAAACGAAGTTTCTAAATACAAATGTATTTCTTATTTTCAGTAAAGCAATAAGGTGTGTTTTGAAGGGTATTTAGGAGATGCAGATGAACAAAAGGAAGAAAGTATTTGAACTGGCCTATCAACTCTATCCAGGGACAGCTATGGCCATTGTTCATGTTGAGTCTCACTTTCACCGTTTTGCATCTCATGAACTTCCTCACTTCCCACCCATCTCACTCCTGTTTAGATATTTTAGGTGTGTTTATGGTGGTTTAAAGACGGCATTTGCTGCAGTAAGCAAGGAAGCCAGTGCCAGCCAGCAGACAGCCCCAGTCCTTTCATGTGTGTCCTCAACTCCTGGACCCCACTCCTGCAGGGGCAGTCCATCTTCTTGCATTAATCTTGCAAGGATTAAGCCACAGGCCTGCAGTAAGGATTCAGGGCCAGAGGTCCACCCTGGAGGACACACTGGCTCTAGGTCTGTCTCACATTACTGTGGACCTATAGGTTCCAGCTATCGAAGAACAAAAAGAGTGAAATCCATGCATCATTCATTTGACCAGGGGCCTAGTCTGGGTCCGGGGTTCACATTTTCTATTGCTGACTAACAAACCACCCAGAAATCAAATGGCTTTACACAACTATTTACTATTACTTCTTATGAATTTGTCCTTTGGCTGGGCTCAGCTCAGGGGTCCTAGCTTTAGGTCTCTGTGGTTGTCATCAGGTTGCAGCTGGGCCTGGAGTTATCAAAAGGGTTCTCTGGGCAGGATGACCAGGGCGGCTCCCTCACACAGCGGGTGCCCCGCGGACTCTCTCTCCCTCACAGAGTGTTTCAGTCTCCAGGCCTTCTCCACTTGGTGTGAGCTTCACATAGCATGTGAAGCTACCTGTTCATAGCATCCCGTACATAGCTACCTGTACATAGCATCAAACTACCTGTACCTCTTACATGGCAACTGGCTTCCAAGGGTGGAAAGCAGAATCTGCCGGCCCAATTAAGGGCCCCCCAGAACAGGTAGTGTCACTTTTGCCATAGTCTATGAGTCAAAACTGTCACAGGGTCTATCCAGATCGAAGGAGGTGGAGAGATGGATTCTACTCCTTGATGGGAGAGTGGAAAGTCACGCTGCAGTAGCATATGTGGGGCAGGAAATATTGTTGCCAGATCCTTTGGAAACTGATCTGCCACAAGCTGGGTCTGTGTACAGCCAGGGGGTACAGTGTTGAGGGCTCCCAGTCCTCAACATCTAGTAATCAAGATAGACATTAACCAACCATGCAATAAAATGTATATTTCCACACTGTAAAGCTAGGGGCTAAAAAGGAAAAGAACAATGGGAAAGGAAAAGCATAAGAGAGACTTGGTCAGGAATGCCTCTCTGAATATGGGACACGGAGACTGAGACCCTGACGGTGAGCAAGAGTTGTCCAGGTGAAGCGCACCTCACAGAGAAGGAACAGCATGTGGGAAAGAAGAGTGCAGTGAAAGTGTGGGGGCCAAGAGATGGACACAAGACAACACTGAAAAAGCAAATAGGATAGTGTCATGCAGGACATGCCAGCCCTCGTTGAGTACCTAGGATTTTTTTTCTCAGTACAATGGAAAAGCTCTCATTTTGTTAGGTCAGGTCCAGCTGCAAGTGACAGAAACTCCAAATAACAATCTATTAAACAGTTAAACTCTTTCCCACATGAACTAAGGTTTGCATAATTCATCAGAGGCTAGGATGCCTGTCCACAGTATCAGGGACTAGCACCTTCAGTCTTTCATCTGCCATCCTCAGAATACAGTGTACCCCTACCTCATGGTTCAGAATGGCTGCCTGAGTGCCAGCTATCACATCCACATGGCAGCCAGCAAGAAGGAGGATATGCTTTCTCCCTTTTGTGACACAT